AATTTGAAACTATTTAAAATTTGTAAAATAATAATTAATTAATTATTTAATTTTAAACTAATAATTTACTTAACACTATCAACATTTATCAATAGTATGACATACCCTATAAACTCAGTTTCTCAACTTTTGTGTCAATCTAACAATTAATCAATCAATCATAGTTTACGATAATGAAATATCAGTGTACAATTATTTACCTTTATTGTTGTAGTTGTTGTAAATGACGAATCTAAGCACTCCACATTTTCACTACAGACACAGCTGACGATACTTTAACCACACGTGTGAACTTGTATTATGACGCTTTCTTGTTTTTCCAACGCCAAGAACGTTCGAGAAAGACAAAGACAGAGACAAGCATGCGCCGATTCAATGCGCCTAATTCTCTAGCGCTGCGCGCGCAGCACTCTCGTTCGGTGACTCATCGTAACGTTACCGGGCGTTACACTTTTTCATAAGTGACTCCCAGCCGCAACCTAATTTAAGACGTTGTCACGTCAAAATAAACGAACTGTAAACAACAGAAGAGGTTGTTTTTAATCTTAGCTTCGAGGCGTAAAGGGAAGTGACCCTACGCTCGCAAATCTACATCTATCAAAAAATAAAGTCGCTCATTGTGACGTGAACAGTAATATAAACTTAGAATAGTTCAATATTCTGTTGTCTTATAGACCATCTATCTTACTCGCTAATAAAAAAGGATCGAATATTCTGCATCAATTACCGCTAACTGAACAAAATAGAGAAAAGAAATGTTTACTCGTTCTCATTAATCTCTCCAACACCTTGGACTGACTATGGGAAGATAGATTTCTTGTGCCATTGACCTTCAATCAAGGTATTGGCAGATCGAAATAGAAAAATAAATTGTGTCGAGATTAAATAATACGGAAATTATATATAAATTTATATAGATACATGAGTTCAAGATAAGGCTATTTGTATTATGTAATGTTCCAGTTACTTCTGAACAAATGCCGGACAACCTTCACAACAGAATCACTTGAACACTTCTACTTCATCATAACTTTATGACAATCCTTTTTGAGATGATTTAAAGAAATATCTGTGACGAATTCAACTGATATGGAATTGCTTTGAAAATAAAGTTTCTAATAATGATAAAATTGTGAAAAAAGTTTTAAAATTACAAAATATTTTCTCACAATGAGTTTCTTTTTATTAAAAAACGCTAGCTTTCAAGCGATAATCGCTCTTCAACGGTCTTAATAAAACATCGACTTTATCCTACCAGAAATATTTACAAAAACAAACGCGCGCAGCGTGATAACTGAAATTTTTTAATCGTTGAAGAGTGATTATCGCTTGAAAGCTAGCGTTTTCTAATAAAAAGAAACTCTTTGTGAGAAAATATTTTGTAATGGTTCTGGTTCAAATCACATTAATAGGTACCGCTCAGCAAGAGCAACCTAGTTCATGATAATTGAAACAGTGAATAATATGTGAAGGTTATTCACATATTAAACAAAATGTTAACGCGGGATTCAATCCCGGTTCATGACTGTCGGGAATCGAGGGTGTTACCCACTCGTCCACCGACTTATGTATATTTTGTAATTAAAAAAAAATAAAGTTTATTTTTTAATGCTAGGAAATGCAAGGGTATTTTATTAAAACCAAAAATAAATCAAAATTTAGATGAAATACCCGAGAGGGAATTTACAAAATACCAAAATATCAAAAATGATAATCTGTTTCTAAAAAAATAAAGTTGATTCTATATCGCGATGTCTGCCACTCATGACATAACCCTTAAAATTCCTGTTCCAAAATGACTTTATTAGGTACCGCTCAATAATAGCAACCTAGTTAGGTTATTTATAATGAATAATATATGAACAGGTTCTTTACATATAAAAAAGTGTACAATGTGGGATACAATTCTGGTTCATGGCTGTCGGAAACCGATGGTATATACCGCCGGCCACTGACTTTATAACCTTTAAAGTAGAACATTAGGGAACAATACATTGAGATTTAAATATCAAATAAATTGAAGACATTTTATTTTATTTCAACACACAAAACGCGATATCCCGGTTAGAGATAATTGCGTCGATTTACATTTTTTTTAAAAACAGAAACAGTTATAAACATATTATACAAGAAAAAGTAATTAAAGTAAAAAAGAGAAACAATAATATATATTAGGAACCTGAACCTTTCAGATTTGAAAAATAATCATAAATATATTTACAAAAATAGTTAAACCTATGATAATTCACTCTGCTATTTACAAATTGATATAGATCTACAACATTGTTTATTGTCTGTTGTCTAGCGGTGAAGAAGAGTGGGCATTTAAAAAGTTATAGATCAAACGAATAGAATCTCTATTCTCAGTATCTTATAGAGTTAACTATTTAATTCTTTTATTTTTACAGAAGACTTAGAAACATTTGAAAACAAAGTGTTTCCCCGACAGAGATAAAAAGGAAGAATTTGTACACCTATACTTATACACATCTATACTTGTACGCTTATATAGGTATTCGTGAGATGGCCCTTGCAACCTCAGAACAATTTTTAACGCCTTGCTAAATGTTTTATTTTTATTTACTTCTTCTGACGAAGACAAAAGATTTTTGTCGAAACGTTGAGAAAATAAAAAAACTCCAACTGGCCGAAATGTCTATTTTTTATATAAATATTCACACATAGTAATTTTGTTTTAGGATTTTCACATTCGTAGTTTGCTTGAAAGAATCATTTAAATTAGCTATCTCTCTTAACATTTTAAAATTGTTTTATTAAAACGTTTGATAGAGAGTATTTCCTTTTTTCAAACTGTTATTACAAAAAAGGTAGATTCAATGAGGTCTAAATATCAATAGTGAAATATATAAAATGGAGAGAATAAAAATATGGTAAATAAATCTATACAACAACAATTCAGGTTTATAGTTATATTAAGCAAAAGGAAACAGAAAAAAAAAGAGAATCAAATGTATATGAAAGTTTAAAATAAATCAGATTCCCCCCCTTAAAATATTCCTTTATATAAATATTAATATAAACTAAATGAAGACACTCATTAAAATGGGATTAGCTAGGTTTTGTGTATCTCCGCTGTTTTCCCTCTTTAGGTCGCAATTCTGATTTAAATGGAGTGTATTGTGTTTTATTAAAGGAATTTATTGTTCTGAAAGCTGTATAGATATGTATCCAAGTGGACATGGCATCTGCCCGGTAAACGGAACACTGTGGGTTCGATTCCCATTCCTGGACACTTTATTTTTCCGTTTATCATTACTCTTTACAATTCATCCTTTCATACTTCATCCCTAAGGTTAGAAATAATCTTTATTTCTCCTTAAAATAAATTTTGATTTTTCGTTCAAAGGAAACACTTGAGGGATAATTTTCAAATGTCGTTCTATAATAGATATGTTTATTAAGTAAGGAATCTTTGCTGTTCCTATGTCAGCCGGGGAAAGTAATGATGTTTTACAAAGAACACGTGGAATGAGTTTCAAACAAGCTCTAATTCACTATCTTCTAGAACAGATAAAGCAGTCTCAAACAATACATCAAACTATAAATAAACGATAACAGAACTCAATAAATATGAATAAATAAGATTATATAATGAAAAATATATTAATAGATAGATAGAAATATATAAAACTAGCCGAATGACCCGGGCAATGCCCGCGGTTTACCCGATTAAATGCTTTTATTCAAATACTATTCGTTACAATTATAAATTGGCGCCGTGGATGTCATTCTTGTATAATATATAAATGAGTTTTAAAAATTGTAAAAAAAAAATGCATCGGCCGGGAATCGAACCCGCGCCGCCCGCGTGGCAGGCGAGCATTCTACCACTGAACCACCGATGGTTATGAGAAATGGCCATATTTGGGTATTTATTCCATTCACAAAAGCAAACGGTGACAGAATTTATTATTAAGAATTGTTGCTTGATGACTCTGATAACTGTATATATATTAATAATTGATAAATATACACATATATATAAATATTTTGAAAATAGAGCAATCCATAGATAAATCTTTAATTAAAAAGGCATATATATTTTGATATTTTGATCCAATATATGCCTTTTTAATTAAATATATAAATATATACAAGTCGTCATTGGTGGCGCCCACCTCGGGAAAGACTCCGCCACCGGTGGACAGGAGAGAGAGAGAGTAATGGAATAAAGAATTTCACCTATTTTACAAATAACACGTGGAATGAGTGAAAGTGAGAAGTAAGAATTTTTAGATTTTCTTAGGTCGGGGGGAAAACAATGATATAAATTATGTTTTACAAAGAACACGTGGAATGAGTCTCAAAGTAGTTCTAATTCAAACTTTGCTAGAACAGATAAAGCAGTCAAACAATACATCAACGATAAGACAACTCAAATAGTAAGTAGTTTATTTTTATCGAAAGATTTCCAATGTTGAAAATTGCTCTTATGAGGTTAGGGAGATATGTTATTTAAGATCAAATTGCCCCATAAATTTTAACTGTCCTCGTGGTAGAGATTCTGTAGTTGACCCTCCTCCCAGTTGTCGCCAAGTCATAAATTGTCTTCAATGCTCTATGGAATAGAAATGGCCCATTAACAAGCCTTTACAGAATTCTAATACACGAGATTGACATAGCATCGATGATTGGATATATAAGTATGAATATTGGAAACTATTATAGACGCGTATGATCCTTTTGAAAATTAAACAATTTCCCATTAATTTTTTCCATTGCAGTAAGGACAGTAGAAATAGTTTAATTTTCAAAAGAATCATACGCGTCTATAATAGTTTCGAATATTCATAACAGATGGCGCGCTGATGTGCCATAATATATATGTATGCTTACATTTTAAAATATAAATTGTTATAAATACCAGATATTTTAATATTATAATCCCTTCGGTAAAAATTATAAACATATAAATTTAAAATTATAAATAACGGCAATACAAGCTTACAGGTATACCTGCGCTACTAAAATTTTTTTATGTCCAGGGTAGCCTAGTGGACATGGCATCTGCCCGGTAAGCGGAACACTGCTGGTTCGATTCCCATCCCTGGACACTTTTATTTTCCGTTTATCATTACGATCCACAATTCATCCTTTCATAATTCATCCCTAAGGATAAGAAATAGTCGTTATTTCTCCTTTTTACTAAAACCTTTTAGTAGTGTAGTTATACCTGTGTAAGCTTGTATTGCCGTTATATATGGAAAGAAACTTTTCCCTCAACGAATTGTCTTCTATTTATAATTGTTATAAATACCAGATATTATAACTAGGTATTTATATATTTTATTTTGTATTAAGTGTTATGTGTGTTAGACATTTTTGTTTGTTTAGATCGAGCTATTTAGGTACAAGTTTGTATATAGTTGACGCGATAGGTGAATATGTCTCTTTTCAATTTTCCTGTATCAGTTTAAAAAACCTATGTCAAATAAATGTCTTTATTATGATTATGCTCATTAATATGTATATTTTTTTATTTATTTTATTTCAATTTAAAGCGCTATGTCCCCCTATGGGACACTTGCATACATGTATGCCTTTACATTTGTCTATTAATATGTATATTAAATGTTATAAAAAATGTTATAACATGTTTTAAGAGGTCTCTTATTAGAGATTTGACTATATCAATATATTAAAACTATCTATTTTCACACAAATACTATTTATTAACTATTAAATGTGTGTGTGATTTTTTAATATACTTTTTTTGTTTTTATAAATAAGGAGAAATGCCAAAAAACTCTCTGAGCCATTCCCTAAAACCTAGTTGATTGCGGTTGGTAAACTTGGGCCTGGTGGATAAGTAATTTAGACCTTGGACAGTCACTGCTCGGAATCGATTTTTTAAAAGAAAGAATTGTTTCAATGACCCCGATTCTTGTAAATGTCCATCCCCACCAGTGAGTGTAAGCAATCACACGGATTTTGTTGAAAATATCTTGTTTGCAAAATGAATTTCACTGATGATATTTGTTTTTTTCCCCCAAGGATTTTATTAATAAACCTGGTTTTATTTTTATTTTATATGAATTCTCTTTGATGCATACATTAGCGTTTTAAAGATTTCCTCTGACAAGGTAATCAGGATGTGAGGGTAAGTGCAAAAGTCTAACCTCTTTCCACATGTATAGACATGTGATGCACTTGCAGTAAAAACAGTCGCCAACTAATGCATACCATGCTTATCATAGCCTGTAGTACGTTTATACTATATAAGGATGATAAAAATATTTTTAAAGGGTTGTGGAGTAAACTTGCCACAACATCAGCTTTGGAAACTTAGAAAAGGTCATTGTTTCAGCTCTAGCACTTGGCAGTCAAAGGGTAACTTCAATATTATGAGGTCCCATAAGATGAGACGATAAACCTTATTAACCATAGTTTTGATGATCGTCTAATTAACAAGGACAATTTTGCTAATACCAGGAAAATATTTTTATTAAAATTTCGATCCAAGAGTCACGGCAATGTAACAGTGATATCTCTGTCTTCAAAATGGATCCATGTTCCAAGAAATTCACGGGATGTTTATTACGACATATAAGGCATGAAGTCAAACAATCTGTCTTAAGCTAAGTAAGTCTGAAGGTTTCGCAACAAGACCAAGGTCCTGGTTTGGACTAATTATCAGTGGCACAAAGGAAGCCATTATCGTCTAATTAGTCGTCTGCGAGCCTATTAGCCGCTAAGCCTAACCGTAATTACCCCTGAGGACGAGGCTAATGAAACGTCCACCCCTCAATTTTATCCAAATATATCTGGCGACACATAATCTCTTTTAAAACTTCATTTCCAGACGCCCCACTGTTCGAGATCTTTTGTTGAAAATCTCTTGTTTGCAAAATGAATTTCCCTGATGATATTCGTTTTTTCCCAAGGATTTTATTAATAAAACTGGTTTTATTTTTATTTTTTATGAATTATCTTTGATCTGTGCATTAGCATTTTAAATATTTTCTTTGACAAGGTAATCAAGATATGAGGGGAATTCAAATTCTAACGGGCGGTTATTTTCTAGCGAAATTTTGGAATGGTTGCGACGTGAAATAATTTCAAAATCAGATAGGTCTCCTAAGTAGTCCTAAAGTTTGAAAGCAGATATAGTTTATAGAATTTTAACTTCTTGGCAGAGATTAATTCTACACCACTGCGGCGTAGGTAATGCCATGGCCAAGGTAAGAATTCTGTCTACTAACCTTTGTTTACCGGTACTAAAGAAAATGAAGATTTCAAAGTGCTACTTAGCATAGAAGTATTTGATGGCGCAAAAGAGATTCTGATTGAAGGTGCTTAGTGGAAGTCTGAAGCCTTCCTGATATGATGGCTGTTGTTGTTTACAGGAAGGCTGAGTGTCCATAGCGGAAGTCTGAAGCCTTCCTGATATGATGGCTGTTGTTGTTTACAGGAAGGCTGAGTGTCCATAGTAGAAGTCTGAAGCCTTCCTGATATGATGGCTGTTGTTGTTTACAGGAAGGCTGAGTGTCCATAGTAGAAGTCTGAAGCCTTCCTGATATGATGGCTGTTGTTGTTTACAGGAAGGCTGAGTGTCCATAGTAGAAGTCTGAAGCCTTCCTGATATGATGGCTGTTGTTGTTTACAGGAAGGCTGAGTGTCCATAGTAGAAGTCTGAAGCCTTCCTGATATGATGACTGTTGTTGTTTACAGGAAGGCTGAGTGTCCATAGTGGAAGTCTGAAGCCTTCCTGATATGATGGCTGTTGTTGTTTACAGGAAGGCAGAGCGTCCATAGTGGAAGTCTGAAGCCTTCCTGATAAAATGGCTGTTGTTGTTTACAGGAAGGCTGAGTGTCCATAGTGGAAGTCTAAAGCCTTCCTGATATGATGGCTGTTGTTGTTTACAGGAAGGCTGAGTGTCCATAGTGAAAGTCTGAAGCCTTCCTGATATGATGGCTGTTGTTGTTTACAGGAAGGCTGAGTGTCCATAGAGTAAGTCTGAAGCCTTCCTGATATGATGGCTGCTGTTGTTTACAGGAAGGCTGAGTGTCCATAGCGAAAGTCTGAAGCCTTCCTGATAAGATGGTTGCTGTTGTTTACAGGAAGGCTGAGTGTCCATAGCGGAAGTCTGAAGCCTTCCTGATATGATGGTTGTTGTTGTTTACAGGAAGGCTGAGTGTCCATAGCGGAAGTCTGAAGCCTTCCTGATATGATGGTTGTTGTTGTTTACAGGAAGGCTGAGTTTCCATAGCGGAAGTCTGAAGCCTTCCTGATATGATGGTTGTTGTTGTTTACAGGAAGACTGAGTGTCCATAGCGGAAGTCTGAAGCCTTCCTGATATGATGGTTGTTGTTGTTTACAGGAAGACTGAGTGTCCATAGCGGAAGTCTGAAGCCTTCCTGATATGATGGTTGTTGTTGTTTACAGGAAGGCTGAGTGTCCATAGCGGAAGTCTGAAGCCTTCCTGATATGATGGTTGTTGTTGTTTACAGGAAGGCTGAGTTTCCATAGCGGAAGTCTGAAGCCTTCCTGATATGATGGTTGTTGTTGTTTACAGGAAGACTGAGTGTCCATAGCGGAAGTCTGAAGCCTTCCTGATATGATGGTTGTTGTTGTTTACAGGAAGACTGAGTGTCCATAGCGGAAGTCTGAAGCCTTCCTGATATGATGGCTGCTGTTGTTTACAGGAAGACTGAGTGTCCATAGCGGAAGTCTGAAGCCTTCCTGATATGATGGTTGTTGTTGTTTACAGGAAGACTGAGTGTCCATAGCGGAAGTCTGAAGCCTTCCTGATATGATGGTTGTTGTTGTTTACAGGAAGACTGAGTGTCCATAGCGGAAGTCTGAAGCCTTCCTGATATGATGGTTGTTGTTGTTTACAGGAAGACTGAGTGTCCATAGCGGAAGTCTGAAGCCTTCCTGATATGATGGTTGTTGTTGTTTACAGGAAGACTGAGTGTCCATAGTGGAAGTCTGAAGATTAAATTCTCCTGTATATGACGTCTGTATGATGGCTGTTGTCGTTTATTGAAGACACTGAAGTCCCCCAATCCTTCGAGCTAAAAGAATTCTGCCAAACGGAGGAGGTTAAACCTCCATAAATATATTTAAAATATTTATCTGAATTTTATCAAAAAATTATATAACGGAGCCTTTGAGAAAATGTATTCCTTCATAAGCCAAGAGAGGATTTTAAGAGAGGCCCTGGCGAGAAGATAACTCATGGTGTTTGTAATTCTTTCTAAATTTCAATTGTTGACAAAATAATGGAATGAATATAGTTTATGAAAATTCGAAACTATTATAGACGCGTATGATTCTTTTAAAAATAAAGCAATTTCTACTGCCCTTACTGCAATAGAAAAATTAATAGGAGATTTATGTAATTCTGCTGTCCTCAAAGCTTATGTCCATAGTTCATCTAAAATACCAATTCTAAGAGTCTAGAATCTCAGTATCACTATAAAATGAAGATCGAAAAATGCAATATAACAGCGGTCTGGTAGATTAAACTGGCGAAACCGCTAGAAGGGTTCACCACTGATGAGCCAGGCCCTCCCATTAATTTTTCTATTGCAGTATGGGCAGTAGAAATTGCTTTATTTTAAAAAGAATCATACGCGTCTATAATAGTTTCGAATTTTCATAACAGATGGTGCGCTAATGCATCTTAATATAAATGTACTTTATATGAATTTTTTAGTGGCATCATTGATATCATCAAACTTAGTTGAATTATAAATGGCATTTTCTTTACTTTAGAATTAGAGTATTTAGTATGATTTAAATATTAGACTGTATTAAATACGTTAATAAGAGTTTCAATGCCGATATTGAAATATACTTTAACTATTTGGGTTCTTCACATCTATTTTTATTTCCATCGAATTGTGTCATTGATTTGAGTTAGCTTTAAAATATTGGCTGAGTATCAAGAAGTAAATAAAATTTATCTTTAAATATGAAATATAAAACACGTGAAACACCCCAATTTTATAGAAATATTTTTTCGAAACTATTATAGACGCTTATGATTCTTTTAAATATTAAACGCGTCTATAATAGTTTCGGATTTTCATAACAGATGCCTAATGC